AAAAATTAAAGAAACGAAGTTTAAGTACATCCAGTCAAGTATAGACGTAACGAAAAAATAAGTAAGGACTTAATTGAAAAGAAATTAAAGAATGAAGTAATGTCAAGTAAGTTAAGTAAACTAAAATAAAATAAAGTAGTACAATGCTGAAGTCAGGCAAAGTGAAGATAAAGTAAAATAAAATTAAGGTAAAGTAAAGTAAGTAAGTTTGTTGTGAGTTCAGGTAATTACAGTAAAATCAATTTAGGTAAAGTAAACTAAGACTAAGTAAAGTAAAGTAAAGCAAAGCAAAATAAAGTAAAGGAAGAAATAAAAGTGTAGTTATGTAAGTATAAGACTAACACTAAACAAAGTTGAAGTGAAGTTAAGTAAAGAAGTTCAGTAAAATATCCTAAACTTAATTAGGTTGATGTAAAAGTGAAGTAAAACTGGAAAGTAAGTAACTAGGCAGAAAGTAAAAAATTCAGTAAGTTTGTAAGAAACGAAAACAAGTAATTAAGTTAGAAAGTAAGTAGGTAAAGCAGTAGGTCGGTAAGTAAGAAAGTAAAGAAGTGAATAAGTAATTAAAGTACTAATCAAGTAAGTCAGTAGTATGTAAGTGAGTAAGTAGAAAGTAAGTAAGTTTGTAAGTAAAAAAGTAAGTAAGTAGGTAAGTAATTAAGCTTTTGAGTGAGTAAACGAAATTAAAGAAAAGTAAATCAAAATTAAGTAATCTTAGATAAAAGGCTGGTAAAAAAATAAAAGGTTAAGTGAAAAAAGTAAAACAAAAAAACTAAACTAAAAAAGAAGTAAACTAAATAAAAGAGTAAAATGGACATAATTGTATGACTGTGTGTAAGAAAAGTGTAAGTAAGTATGGGAGTAAGTAAGGAAATCAGTAAGCAAGCAAGTAAGTAAGTGAGCAAAAAGTAAGATGTTAAGCAAAAAAAAAATAAGTAGGCAAATAATAAAGGAGGTAGTTAAGTAGATTTGTAAGTAAGTAAGTCAGTAAGTAAGGATGTAAGGAAGCAAGTAAAAAATTTAAGTAAGCAAGTTTTTAGGTAAGTAAAAAGTAAGTTAGTAAGTAAGTAAGTGAGTAAGTGAAAAAGAGGAAAGTAAGTTTTCATACTAATTGAGCCGCCATAAGGTCTCAACTTAATTGAAACGTCGCAATTAAGGTTATTAGAACTAGTTATTAGAACTAACAAAGAATGAAAAAAGCTAGAAAAAGTTTCTTTGGTTAGAACTGTCATAATTTTTTGTTTTAAGGACGTATACATTTTCTGAATTATTTCTAAATGATTTGGAGTAACTCAGTGTTCCCGATTTCAATGTTTTTTTTTCAACGCCTCTCCAAACTTCTAAATGTGGAGATAAAAGATACCTAGCAGATACTTCTAGAATTGTCTAGTTTGTTTCTGGCGGTAAATAACAAAATGAACTACCGTAAACACTTTTTTTTCCAGAAATGCACCAACTTTTTGCAAAAAGCTCGGTGCATTGTTTCATACTCCTTTCCCCTTTTCCTTTTTCCACTCGTCCTTTACCCATTGAAACTTTTTCCCCTCTAGAGAAACAGCATACTGTTCCTCCCCAGCTTGGAACTTAGATTTTTAAAGTATTTTTGGAAACACTCTAATTTTTATAACTTGATAATCAATATGTTAAAAACACCAAGTTCCCCCTAATTTCCTTTTTCTCATTTCAAACTGTGACAAATTTATCGTTTGCTATAACTTGCCCAGAAAAGGCCGCCGCCATTAGAGAGTGTTTTCATTTTACTGCCCTTTTATCATAAAATATAGCAAAAGTTGGGGAAATAGTTTACTGCCGCCAACAGTTATGCTACGTTGACAAAATCGCCGGCGAATTTTTATTATATACCATAAAAGTCAACTCCCTGTTCACTAACAAATTTCAACAAGGTTGAAAATTCATTTGGCCGAAACAAAAATCAAAATTAATATGATTCATATAATTAACCAGGACCAATAATTAGGATTCCAAAAAATCGATTTAGAAAGAATCATGTATCGTGTCATTTGTTGATACGCTAAGCTTAGCAATATCCTAAGTTGGGGGTCTTCTGCTTTTTGGGTGGAAATTTTCTTTCGTTTACAAAATCCTAGGATGAAGGTCCTTAAAAAATCTAAGGACCCCTTTCCTAAGATTTTGCTTTACGTGAGGACCCCCCTTAGAATACGGGACACGATACAATACTACTTGCCGCTTTTTTAAATATGTAAAATTTCATTCAGTGTTGAATTTTCATAAAAAACTTTGGCTTCATCGCCCATTCACAGAATTTTTGTTTAAAACTCAATTCGATTCCTTCACATTTTCTGTGGTTCGAATCAGCGGATTTGGGTGGGGGGGGGGGGGGGGGGGTGGCAGGCTTGCCGGACGTTTACCCTACTCAGGATTTCAACCCCCTGCCGACCCAAATGGTACCCCTTTTGTACTAATTTGAGATATCCATTTTTGGTGACAGAATATATACTATTTTTGAGGGGGAGCGCGCCCCGAAAAAACGCAATTTTTTGGTCAAATTTTTTCAAAAAATTACCCGAAACGGCTTTTTTACCTGTTATTTTTTCAAAAACTTGCCTGCGGCGCTCAGAAAATCAATTTGGTCGAACTAAAAAAAAGGTCGACAAGTTTTCCGATTTTTTTGTTCAAAATCTGCCCCTCCTCCTCGAGAAAAGACTAGACCCGCCCCCTGGTTTCAAATATTTTTCCTAAATTTTGTAAAACAAATGGCGGATAAAATTTGAAAATTACTGTTTAAATGTGTAAAAAAATTGATTTCTAAATAATTTATTTTCCTGCTGCTATTTTTTTCCATGCTAAAAACGTTAAATTTTTCAGAAATAATCTGGGATCGTTTATATGTTTACCTGTTTCGCTCACTTTTCAGTTTCAGAAAAATTAACTGGAAGTTTACTGCTATCTTTTCGTTGATGTCAGTTCTAAATCAAATTTACCTCTGAAAAACATGCAGATTTTTTGTTACTATTGCTATCTTTGTTGCTGTCTGTTTAAACTCTGAAAACGAAATCTGAACCAAGAATTCAGCTTGACCACCTCTTGAAAAATATTTTTTAGTTTTAACGACGCAGTTTTTTTAGTATACTCACGAGTGATAATACCTGTTCCGACTTTCTACTCGTGGTGCTTTTTTCTCAATTTCTCAATTTTTAACTATCCGTTTTGGGTGGAATTTTGCTATCTTTCGAAGACTTTTGATGCCTCGAGCTGAAATTCAATTTGCTTAACCTGTCATCAGTGTTCTCGAAGTTATGAAAGTCTGAAAAACGCATATTTCGTCAATTGGGATAACATTTGTGCGAGCTAATTCGTCCTACTAACGCATGAGAAATGAATTCATCTGGCTCAAAAACTGTTCCATGCTAGTTTTTATTTTTAATACGCTTCTATTTGCTGAGTATATCTTTGAACTTTATGTACCGTGCTGGTTCTCAGCATTGTAATTTTCATTTTTTTTCTAAATGTTTTGCTTGACATTCAGTTTGATTTGAAATTTCAGATCTCTTCAACTATATCCCCTCTCGGGTACCTTATAATGAATCTTTTTTTTGCGAAATTCTTGAAAATTTTGAGTGAAAATTAATTGTTTCCAGCTGATTTTGGAAAAATGTCTTCGCGTGATGAAAATGTTTTCGTTCACAAATTTAAGAACGATTTATTTCAAAAACTTTTTCAATAGTGGTAAAGATAGCTTATTCGTATCGGAAAATACACTAGTTTTATCTGTAATTATAAAAGTGCAAATTTCCTTACGTTTTGTTTTTAAATTATTATCATTTTCTCCCACAGACTCTCTAAGAATTTTTCCCCTTCCTTGAAAAATTAATATAACTCGCAAGATATAATGCGAAGAAGCAAAATTCAAATTTTGTAGATTTTTTTGATTTTTCTAATCACGATAAGAGTTTTCAAATGTGACCAGAGACTCATTTTGAGCTTAGAGAAACAAGAATCTAAACAACATTTAAAAAACGTCTATTCTCTACTAAAAATTGTCTTTCTTCTATTCTCTCTGCTGTCAAATTAAGTTATTATTGATACTAATTGTGTCAGACCTAATTTGATTTTGGAGAAATAAATTTTCTTTCAGGCGGGGGAAAAGGAAAAAGAGCCTAAATATCTTGACATTTTTGTTTTAAAAAATGTACAAAATTTGAGTGCTTTCGAAACACTTCTCGAGTACGGTCGAATTGTAGGTCGAACATAGTTTAAACTTTTTGAATCCACTCATTTGCAATATTTTCAGGTAGCAGGCGTTGCAATCAAAAAACAATCCTTATCGTACTTAATTGCTTTTAAAAGATAAAAGCATAGAATAAATTAAGAAAGGATAATCAGTTGCTTTGGAAATAGCGCCAAAATTTCCGCAGATTTTTCACAGAAAAAAGAGTTTTCACATCCAGAGTTTGCTCTTATTTTTCAAAGTGAAGTGATTGAAACGCAGATTGAAGAATGCTTTTGATTTACGTCAATTAAATAATTATATGTTAATAGAAAGTTAGGACCCTGCCGACGAAGACTAAATTTGAGTCTTCCTTTTTCACTCTCTGATCTGAGTAACAAAAACACTCAGACTGGTTTTTCTCGACAATTTGGCAAGATTTTGAGCTTTGATTGGAATCTAAGGCTCTTTTTCCAGCCCCCCCCCCCCCCCCCACCTTACATGGTGTACCGAGTCGTTTTACAAGGTTGAGTATGAAGACTAAATATTTTTGTCATGGCCTAAGTAGTCTGTATGCCAAATTTGATAATAATCCGACAATGTGAACAGAAAAATTACTCTAAAAAATTTACAGGTGGGGGGAGGGGAAGGAAAAGGAGTCGAATCTAATTTACGACCGTCAGTATGCTTTAATGTCACAACCCACGTGACTCCTTGACCCGTTCCAAAGTCATTACATGAAACCAAAATTGGCCGAAAAAACTCATCCTGCGCTATAGTTCCTTCGAGTCCTTCATAGTTAATAACTTACTTTGCTGGTAAAATGACGTCTGAAACTTTGAACTTTCTACTGCCTATGACACCGCCTTCGAAGTTTGATACAGCAACATATACTTGACCAGCTAAAAGCAAAACTTCGACATAATTTAATTTTTAAGTCAATCAATTTCAAATGACACTCGAGTTCTTTCATCAAACACAATGAAAGTGTAAAAGTTTTTTTACACATGCGAAGCGTAGTTTATTATTGCGAAGAGTTTTTTTCTAAACTAAGTCGCAAACAAAAGTGCTCACTTGGTGGCACATGTGGTATTTCAATTTTCAATTATTTCAGTTTAATCATATTCAAGCTTATTTAAGCATAATCAATGTATATGTGGCTCTTTTATTTTTGGCTAGTGTTAGCTACGGTTAAAAAAACGAGTATTATGAAAATGTAAGGGTTTTGTTGGTTCGATTCTTTTGCGACGCTTTGGAAAAATTTTGCTCTTTTCGCAGAAGGTTGAAGAACGACTGTATCAATTTCAAAAACATGGTTTCAATGGGAAAACTGGCTGCTCTTTTATGTCCCTGCATATTCGGCTAGTCTTTTATCATTTTACCTCACGTTCTACAGCCTTCGAAAGTTTCACCAGGGGAATTTTTAGCCTACTTGTTTTGCATTTTTCATTTCATTTTCTCAAATATTAAATGCACAAACCTGAGAAGATGTTTTCAATCAAAAGAAAATTTATGCGGATCTCCTTTTCTGAAGCGGTTATTTCTTAAATTGGGTACAAAAAAAAATATGGCCTTAAACTAGCGCATTTTTTGAATTTTGGTTTATTTTCAAATTCTTTCTACTTTTCTCGAAAACTACTCTACCAAGACATTTAATCTTCTTGATGGTTTAAATACGTTTTTCTGCTCTCCTGCCTTTTAATAACTTTCGCTATTAAAAATTGTTCAGGGGATGTTAAAATGGTGCAATCTAAAGGACAATAGGTAATCACAGGTGTTTGACTTCCGAGGTGCAGAAGAAAGTTGATTAGGATCCTTTCAAACTGATTTTATTTCTCATGATTATTATTAGCGTACCCTTCTTTTAGTTTCCCTGGTCGAGGTCTGCGACTAACTTTTCCACTCTGCCTATCGCGCCGATTTTAATTCCGTGTTTTAAAATTCATAGTCTGAACAGAATTTATTGCTCCGAGGAAAGTCTGAAGTTACAGTCTTTCGGTCTCGATGGTCTGGGAAGTAGTCAAGATAGCCTTTGACAGTAAAATTTTAATATTAGCATGTAACGTTTTCCTTTGTTGTATTTTAGTTTTTTGGTGATGTTGATGATATATTGAAAACAATTTTTATCAAAGCGCTCGATAAAACCATTGTGAAGCTGTAGACTACACTCAAACTGATAATGTAAAGTGCTTGGATAAAAATGCTTTTGACAAATCATCAACATCGCCAAAAACCTAAATTACGATAACGAAAAAAATATCTGCTAAAGTTATGGTTTTAATGTCTAAAGATATAGAAGATCAGCTTCGAGTTTTTGCTAATGTTATGGTTTTAATGTCCAAAGATATAGAAGATCAGCATCGAGTTGCATGCAGAAGTTTACTGAAAATGGACATTTGCTCTTTTTAAAGATCATAAAGATATAGAAGAACTTCCTAGTCGCCTCGAGTCTCCTATTAGTATAATATGTTTAATCGAAAGTTGGTTTAAAGCAAATGACGAGCCCATTATGTAAAGAAACAATGGTTTTTACACCGTTATAACAAACAACAGGGTATTAGGAGGTGGTGGAACTATGATACATTTTGGCGAAAAAGTTATTTTAATTGACAACCTGATACTGATCTAGCAGAATCCATTTCGAAACTTGTTTAAATTGGTGGAAATAAATTGATAATTGAGTTAGCATATGTTCTACCACGCTTCAAAAAAACTCAGTTTGTCGATGAGTTCAATAAGAATTATAAAATCTTTCTAAATTAAATTTAACAATTATTTTAATTGTACATTTCAATATCGATACTTTAAGAAATGTGAAAAATGATTTACTGCAATTATACGTAGATTCAATAGCAGCCAATGGCTTGAAACGGTTGAGTAATTATGCATCTCGGATTAGTGTTTTCTCTGAAATGTGCAAAGATCACTTTATAACGCAAAATTTGGAGTTTTCCAATCTTATCATTGATGCAAACACTTAAACTGCTGACGAAATTTTACCTTCTGAAATCTTTAAACATGTTTGATCACACGGTAGTGGTGTCCTACAAACAAGAATATTGTTCACTAATGGTATTTGGTTTTGCTGAAACTTGAAACACTCAATCTTGAAAAAAAATCAACTATAATAATTTGAAAGTCATAGAAAGGAAAATATGCTAGAAAACTTTTTATTAAAAGTAGGAAAGGAGCAAATATTTCAGACTGGCAAAAAAAATTATAACTACCAAAAAATAATAATCGTATAGGAGATTCGAGACAAGTGTATAATGTTTTATATGATGTTAAAGGTAAAAACTAAAGAACTACAGAAGTCACATTACTCAATGTAGATGAGAGAAATTAGTTCGACTCTCCATCAATGGCTAACGCTATTAAGGAGTATCTTTTAATCGTTGACTCAAAATTGGCAACGAAAAAAAAATCATCGACCATGTGGAAATTCTTGATCCGGTGGATCAAACTGATATAGCACTCCAATCAATGTAGCTTTTCAATTGCTCATTTGTCGTCGTAATCAATCCTATAACTAGCCTAAAACGCAAGCAAACTTAGGGGATTGATGAAAATGGTAACAGTTTTCCTGTGAAAATCGTTTTGTGAAAGCACCATATTTAACTTACTTGACGAATTTGCTTCTGAGACATTTATAGAAAACCCCAAAGTCTCAAACTTTCTATCATGTTTTGAAGCTGATAGCAGAGCTAAAGTGAGCAATTATCTCCCAATATCACTGTTTAAAAACTGCAGTGAAGTAATTGAAAAGATTATGCACTCTCGCTTGTATAATTACTTTGATAATTTTGAAATTTTGTTTCATCGCTATTTTGGTTTTTGGAAAAATTTTGCGAAGGTCTATCCATTAGCTGAAAAAAAAAACTGAACTATTAAGATTAGGAATCGATAAAAACATAAAATGTAGTTTCTTCGTTTATTTTAAAAACGCTTTTGATACACTTGATCAAGCAATTCTATTGGGGAAACTCGAGTGCTATGGATTTCGTGGAAACTCTTACAGCTGGTTTGAAAGTTGTAGTCTAACAGATCTCAATTTGTAAATGTAATTCACTATTTTCTGATTGGCGACCAATCACTAGATCTGTACCTCAAGGATCTGGTTTAGACCCTCTTCTTTAGATAAGTGATAGGCATCATGCAGTTTCCGGCTTACTTTTTTTTCTGCTGACAATTTAAACATAATGTGCGCTTCCTCATATTTCGAGGACCTTCAAATAGATTTGAAAAATGTTTCATCTTGGTTTCGCTTAATTAAATTAATTTTAAACTTCGATGAAACTACCATAAAATGAAATGTTTTGATTTAAAAAGTAAGTCCTTCTAATCTTTCTGTCAATAAGACTGATAACTATTTCAAAGCTGATCCCTCTTGTAGGTAAAATTAAGATTGTACAGATGATAGAATGTGAATTAGGGAGGCATTGCGGTTTAATTTCAAAAATGAGATACTATGTACCAACTTCAACTATGTACCAACTCAAAAAATATCAAAAGAAAGTCAAACCAAAAATGCAATTTGATTTGCTCGTTTATCGTTGCACGAGTTTTGCCTTTCTGAACTGAATTTTATCGCTCCATTGAAAAAATATTCACCTGATTCAATTAAAACGATTATTGTTTCAATTACAAATTGTTTGACAAAAAATTAATTTTACCGCATGAGTTACATTTGAGCGATTTGCTAAAATTTACTTTAAAATCATTGAATTGAAGAGTTTCCTCAAAAATTTTGAATTCTCCCTTTTCTATAAAAAGTTTTGTATATAAAACAACAATTTCAAATTATACAGCATCCATTACCTCATTCTGTAAAGATAAAATAAAACCTGTTTAATAACTAACAGAGGAGCGAAACTTTGAAAATAGTGAAATGTAAAAATTTTCTGTTGCCAGAGTTTATTGGAAAATTGTCAGTAAGTGAAACGATTGTTTTCGTTCATAACTTCAAAAACAATTTTATACTCGGAAATAACGAACTGGTGCAGCATATATTTCAGGAGATGTTCTTTTTATTCAACATTTTTTTCAATTTTTATATGACTACAAAAAACTCAACTGAAAATTGCGAATCTACCCTGAAAAATTGAACTTCAAGATGTCCTTAGTTTTTGAGATATCGCAAGTTTTTACAAATTTCGAAACTTCCAAAAAATCATAAGAACTTTTGGTTCGAAAAATAATCATTGTTAGCGTATATTGCTAATCTATCATCAGTGTAAATGGGCTTGTCTAACCCCAATTTTTATCTTCTATTTCTATTCCTTTTCCAGAAATTTCCAGTTTTATTATAATTTGCATTTAAAAAAAGTGTAAAAGTTCTGATTTTTGTTATTTTTTCTCGTTTTTGTCTATCCATTAATTCTTGGCACTTTTGAGACATCGTATAAAGTTATCCGTAGCAGCCTGACTTGAGTTCAATCTACCGAATTGTGTTAAGCCTTCAAAAAATTTAAATAGCTGCTTCAAAAATATCGTGTATTCTTAATATTTTTTTAACACTAGCTCTAAATTAATTGAATAGACGGTAGACCTTAAGTAGGAGCGCAATGCGCCTTTCGTCTATTATTTCCATTTTTTTGAACTGAATTATAGTTCGGTATCAGTTGTTTGTGAATAGAGCAAAATAAAAAGATGATTGTAGTTTGTTTCTACATGATTTTGGATAATTGAATTCTTCACCTTCTCTTCTTTCAATTCGCTTTTCAACCATGACTATTTTTTTTCAACCATGTCGCGACTAAAGTAAAGAACATTTGACTGTCGAACTTTGGCCGCAATTTTTGCAGATTTATGTTCTACCGAGCGTTGTCTGATTAAATTTGCCGCCAGTAATGGAACAATTCTTCATGCGTTTATGCGAGGAGTCTTGGTTTCACCGTGCTACACACTTTACCGTAATCGATATGACATTCAGGGACAGCTTTGTTCCATCGGAAATAACTTTTTACTGTTAGGAGTTAACTTTCCTTCGGTCGCGCCAATAACTGTTAAGGGGGAGCGCGCGCCTATACTAATTGAACAAAATTTTCCAAAAAATGCCTAAAAGTGCTTTTTTTAGTGTTTTTTTTTCAAAGTTTTGCTTGCTGCGTAGAAAATTTGACCAAAACAGGGACTTTTTAATGCACTGGGAGAGCTCGGAAAATCAATTTGGTCGACCTTAAAATAAAGTCAAAATTTTCGAAAATCTTTTTGAAAATCCGCCCCTCCCCTCCCCTGAGAAAATCCTAGATCCGCCCCTGCCTGATTATAAAAGCACAACCTCGGTATTTGATCAACTCACGCTCAGCTATTTTGCCAGACTTGTCTGTAATGCACAGTGCTGAAGTGACCATCCATCGCTCGTGCAATACTGCACCTGAACACTTGCGATTGGTATCGAGATCCATATTAACCTAAATGCAGAAACATAGTTTGAGTGGCAGGGAAAGGCAGTTAAAAGGTGCAGTAAATCTCATTTTAGGAATATATTTTACAAACAAAAAAGTAACAAAATTTTGCGTATCGCAGAATGCTCTGTGCTAGAAGCAGAGCAAGCAAAACATACAAAATCTTCCGATTTTTCTTTTTTTTTTCAGAGAGAAAGGTGTCTGAGACGCCATGTAGGGTGACCTAAAGAATTACTGATATCTTCGTCAAGAAAAGATTTAAATAATCTGGTAACAAATACATTCAGTCATTCGCAGCAAGATGGTCGACTTCACTCTAAATCAGTCGACGAAGTCAAAGTATCAAACCGTTTCTTCTCGACACCAAAAAGTTTTCTTGAGTTTTCAATTCTTGCAAGGATCAGGGCTAAAAGAATATTTTATGGAATTTCATGGTATATATCACTTAAAGTTCTCAAGTGTTTTCTCTTCGATTCACGATTTTTCGTAGTAAAAACCACCTCAATCCAAACTTTTCACTCTTCGCTGTCGTAATAGTATACTGGTGATGTTGTTTACACAAGCATAGCTTGTGTTATAGTATGAACTCTTTTTTTTCCAAGCTAAGTCGCGAATGTTAGTGTTCATTCTGAAAGTGTTCATTTTGATCAATGACCAGCTATCAAGTACAGCCAATACTAAAGATATTAACACAGACTATTATATTGCAAATATCACTTTAGCTTCAAGGTATTATGGATCTGTAGCGTAGAGGTAGCGAAGGAGACTCGAAAAAAATAAGAGGGTTCGAACCTAGGTGGGGTCAGATTATCTAATGAAATTTTTTGTATACTAGTTAAAATGCGTCTTTTCTATAAATTGAGGCATGTTAGTTGGTAATTTTTTTTCTTCAAATTTACTGGTACTGCTAATGCGGCATAATTGGCTTGCGTCACTTAGCAATTATGAAGACTCATAGTTGGCGTGCGTAAATCAAAAATTTTTGTAGACTCAAAGTTTCACTCATTCAGTGTTTCCCAGTAGCGTTATCGGTCATATTTTTGCTTGTGTATGCAAAGTGCAGCTTCGCCTCTGTGTCAAATTTTGTTTCGCATAGAGTGATATATTTTCTTACTTATTTCTTTTCTTTGGAGGCTCATTTGAAAGTAAGACTTGTAAATTAACCGAAAGATTGATTTCATTGAAAAATGACGAAACAATACGGCCAGAAATTCTACCATGTTAAAAATTTTTGCGTTAGTATTTTTTTTTGAATACTTTTCTTGAAAAATGTTTAAATTTTTTTCGGAATTGTGGTTTTTGGCCTAATTTCCGTCGGTTCATTTTCCATTTAAAAAAAGGAGCTTACATCATTTGGAATTTTTTTTTATCATTGTAGATTTTATTTTGATTTTCATCTTTTTTGCTATATGAAAGTTCTGCAATTAGAAATTTTACCAAGTCTGATTTTAAAAAATTTTATCAAGAAAACTCGGTTAAAGGGTTTCACTTTAAGTTTAACCGTCTTAGTTAAACTATATTGCGTCGGTTTGAGGGCAAAAAGTTTAAGTTTGATAAAAATAGTGGTTATGAAATTGTTTAAAAGTTTTTTAAACGCTTTGAAAATTTTGTGTTGTTGCTTTAATTTTAAATTTGTTGGATGAAGATTTTTCAAAATGTAAAACCATGGAAAGAATCAGCTACCAAATAGTGTGCCTGCATGTTTTCTCAATCTCTGTTTACCTCACTCCATTTTCAACGGCCTTCGAAAATTTCAACGAGGGGAATGTTGACTCTTTTTTTTGGGTTTTATCAGAGAATACCAAGCTATATCTGAGGTGAAGCTTCAAAAGAAAAAGTCGAGTAGCAGATATCTTTAAAATCAACTGCACCTTAATTTTATAGATATACCTTTTAATCTCTCTCCTAGATTTTCAATTTTTTCGCTTAAGGTCTCAAAGTTTTTTTAATCAAAAAATAAAATGTGTTATCTGGAGGAAAATTAACCAACAGAAGTTTTTTTCTTCCAAACTAACTTTTTATTCAGTCGCTTTGGGCAGGTTTTTTTCTCCTAAATGAGCTTTTTGTCAAAACAAAAAACAAAAACTATTAAAAACTTTTATTAAAGCGTTTTTTGCTATATTTTACCTATATTTATACATTCTGTCTTAATTCCAATCTTGTAAACGGCTAAACCCAAATTTTCGTAGAAAAAAAACAAATAGGTTTAGGAAAGGTCAGTTTTCCGAAAAGTTTATTATGATTTTTTCAGAAATGTAAATGTATACACACACACACATTCACAAACACACACACACAAACACACACACACACATTAACATATATTTATGTACAAATATATAAAAAAATATACAGAAATTTTGTTAAATGCATTTTTGCAATATGATCCCTATATTTTAAAATTATCAGTTTATGTCTTGTTTCCAGTTCAATCGACCAATTTGTCATGCTTTTTGCGTTTTCATGTTTTCTCTTTAGCTTATTATGCAAAGTAATTTTTCCGATTTCAAAAGTTTTTTTAATGTTTGACACTCGTACTGATTTTTATCAATCCTAGCACAAGGATTTTGAACACATTTTTTTTTAAATTCCTTATTCAATCATAATATTTTCGGTTTTTTATGTTGCTTGGTCAACTTAGCAAAGTAGTCACTTTTTTTCATTTAAGAGATGGAAAATAATTTGGCTCAGCCAAAAAACATCAGTTGAAACCATTAATTTTGAACAAAAAGGCAAAATAAGTGTAATCAATTTCCCAGTGGGTATATTGACAAAATGTGGATATTTTTTGTTTGCTTTTTTTTTCACTTTTAATGAATTCGACTGATAGTTTTTTTGGCTGAGTAAACACATTTTGCCTCGTTCAAAGGGAAAAAATGGATTATTAGTTTTAAAGAAATAAAATATTAAGGCGGTTGTGATGTGAAAGTTTGAAGCTCAAAACTTCTTAAATCACTAAATTTTTTGAGCGTGAGAGTTTTACATCACAGACGCCTTAATATTTTGTTTCTTTTAAGCTAATAATCAGTTCCTTACAATTTAGGATTAGTTAAAGTTTTTGACTGGCTAGTTTTTTCCTCTTTCTCATTTTATCTCATGAGAAGAGCATCCAACTTAACCCGGGAGATTAATGACGCGGGTTAAGAACCGCAACTTCTACCAGACTTTCAAAACCGCACTGATTTTCATTCCGAGACTGAATGTTCACAATCTGGAGTAAAGTTTTCATACTACTTTTTTATTTACTATTTAAGCGATACTGGAGTTCGCTTTTCGTAAAGGTACATCTTGAAGTTTCACTAATTTATGCAAAGCGATACTGCTGTTGCTTGATACATTGTTAAATTTTGTCATTGCGAAGTAACTTTTTTTTTGTATTTTCCTCGCTCAAAATATTTGCTTAAAATCAACTTAATTGTCAAGCAAAAACAAATTTTATAAAAATAGCGTTTTGAATTACATTGCAAATATTAAGGATTTTTGTATTTGAGATAGCGGATCTTTCCAGGATTGTAGCGCTGACTGTTAACTTTTTTTTCTGAGTTTGATTAAGGGTTGGGATATACAAAAATGAGTACTTTTGAAATGCTTTTGTGCTTTAGAAATTAATACAAGAAAACACTAGCCATAAAACTTATAGTCGCACAAAATGCTGAAGGCGGTGTAATGGAACGGACATAATTTCTTCACGCAGGTAAATCATGGACAACTAATATCTTTGACCAACCTTTCAAAAATTTTGGCCGGCATTTTTGTTAGGTCAACCAAATTGACTTTCCGAGCGCTCCAGAACACTATAAAAACAATTTTTTTAAGAAAAACATTTCAAAAGCCGTTTTTGAGCATTTTTGTACAACTTTGGCTTTAAAAATCGGTTTTTTTTCGGCGCGCGCTTCTTTTCAAAATTAGTTTGTATTGGCGCCGTAAGTGCCTAAGAAAAATTTTAGGGTTGGTCGGCTTAAAGTTGATGTATTAAACTTTACCAATGGGGAATTGTTTGGTTGGTAAGGGTGTCGATTAACTGAAGGGGAGGAGAACGGGGAGCGTCCCCCCGCCCCCTCCCCAAAAAAAAGTTCCGCCCCTAAATACTAGGCATAAAAAGTTTTAATTTTTTAGCATGATTTTTTTTCTGAAATGTTGGTTACTAGTACTCGAAAACTCGCTCAAATCTTTTCAGCTATCCCTGCTTCTATTGCAAAAGAAGAAAAGTATGATACTTGGTAGGGTTTTTGCCTATGTCTAACGAACGAGTTAGATTTTCTATATTTTTACTGGCATCTGAAATGTGGTGGATTGTGTTGAAATTCTCCAAGTGGTTGCTTCAATCCCACAGAAAAAGTATAACGCAAACTTTTAAAGTGCGTTTTGGTTCCTCTTCCTCTCTTGTTTTTTTTAGAAAAAAATACGTTAGGAAATTTTTTTAAGCTTAGCATGAACCTTTTTTTTTGTTCTATGCTTTGCGCCATGGTCAATTTAGCCTGATAATCATTTTTACAATCAAGCGAGACAAAGTAAGTGCCAAAAATCATCAGCCCAAACTTTAAAATTGAAGAAGAAAAAGCAGAAATAAATATATTCAAAACCCGAGTGGGTAAAATGACGAACGTTTTAAAAATTGAAAAACGTGGAGGAACTTTGTATTCGGGTGTGTTCTAGTTTTAGTTTCTTTTGTTTTTTAATTTTCAACGCAAGGTCAGAAACCACAAAAATATTCGGAATGGTTTGAGTGATATATTATTTTACAGCCCTTTCAGTCGTGATTCGAACAACTTCTTAAAATAAAAAAAAATCTCGAGCTAATAAGGTGAGCGTGCAGGGCAGGGTTACAATAGCTTTTTTAAGCTGAAACTAGACCGTAAAATTTTAGTTTCACTTAAGTAGACTGAGTTTTTGGAGTTTTTAGCGCCATTTTGGGAATCAAAAACACCATTTTTGAAAATTAAAAAAAAATTGTTTCTAGAAATTTTTGAACAAAAACATTTTCCCAACTAGCCTCTTTCATTATG